GCCAGGAGTCCTTAAGAGATCATATACGGGTCTTTGGCATGTCCCGTATTCTAAGGCAGAGAGTAATGCCTAGCCGTCATTTGTGTTCCATGGATAGCTGGGTCTTAAAGAGGGCAGGAGCTATAGCATAAGTTTACACTGAACTTTTTGGCTTTAGTTGACAGTTTAGCCACTTTTGCAGCTGTTCTTACTGTGGCAGTGGTTGCCTGAAGGTCACTGAACAAAAGAATTGGTTAAGCATAACTCCAGTTGGGTGTTCACACAGCTAAAATGGCCTCAGAATGGAAAAATAATGGAAACTCAGCAGAGTCAGTCCCATTCTCAGTTTTATTGATGTGGTTTATTACATTGGGTTCCCCACACCCATAACTTTCCATCTTAATGTTACAAAAAACATAGAATATGTTTTTCTATACTGGGCAATGTGCATTGGCATACCCTGATCCAAGTAATGATACTTGTTTTTCTTCTCAGCATCTCAAGCAAGCATGTGCACATGCACACCCACCACACTCCCTGACCACCTCTCCCATCTCTCTCTCATGGGAGAGTCACCATCATTCTGCTGGTCAGTGGTACTTTAAAATGGGACCGCCAAGGAAACTAGAAAAACAGCAGTAAATGATTCCTTTCAAAAGTCTTCCTAAGAAAGATGTCTTCTTTTTTTTCTGTTACTTTTGAGATTGGATTATCTTGTAGAGTTGACACAAAAGTGGAGGAACTATCCGAAGATAATTAGGTGATGACTTCCTTTTTTTGCACCAAAATTAATTATAGCTGATTAAAGATTTATAGGATGATGTTAATAATAGATATTAACTAAAATATATTTTCAGACTTATGCTGGTCAGGCATTGTGGTAAATGCTTTACCTATACTGCCCTATTAAACCATCGTAGCAACCCAGAAAGGTAGAAGGATGATTCCTGTTTTACTAATGAAGGAAATGAGCACTTGCCCAAGGTCACTGAACTGGTAAGAGATAAAGCCGAAGTTTGAAAAAATAAAACTGAAAAACAAAAACAATAAAATCTGGAGGCAGAAAAGATGTGGGAAGCATAATGTGTTACCACAGATTAAAAAGCATAAAGAATAAGAGAAAAGATTTGAATATGAAAGACCAGCAGCTTTTGTATGATCAAGAGCAACATAAGACAAAAGATAAATGACAGACTGGGGAAAAATATTTACAACATATATGAAAAACCCAAGGTTGTTATCTTTAATATATAATTAACATTTTAAATTAATAAGAAAAAATGGTGTCTATAGCAACTGACTTAGAGAAAAAACACAAGACTTAAATTTGCTAAAGATTAAATATAAATGAGCAATAAACAGGAAAGGGAAGTTAGCAAAATGGGGGACTTTTTTGTTTCTTATTGACCAATTTAGAACTATAAAGATGAAAATAAGCGGTACTGTTGAGGGTGCTTAGAGAACCTAGCAGTTTGATTTTATTCTTAGATTTTCCTAAGAAGTCCATAGGAGAATGCACAGAGATAATAATGTAAGGATAAATAGTTCAGAAAAATTAAAGGAAATCTATGTATAGTAGGAACTAGATTACATCAGTTAATCACACAGCAGAAAGCAGAGCAGCTGTTTTACATGCTAATGTAGACATATATTTGTAGAGAAAGGAAAGTATTCATTATTTCTTGTCAAGAAGAGAATAAATTTCCTTTGAGACATGATGCTATAGTGATGAAGTGTCAGCCTCCAGAAATTTGTTCTTTCTTAGATTTGTGAAAACACATGAACTTTGCAATAGTTCTTTGTATTTTATCCTTTTATAAGCTATGATTTGGGATAGTTGATTTAAGGATGGAAAGGAGAAACATTCTTTTCAGAAACATAATATAATAATTTTCTACTTTTTCATATTCTGTTTTTCTCAGATTTTTTTCCTTTGCCAATTATGAATAAAGCTTTATTAAATATGCTAAATCTGAATTATATTCTGTCAGGTATAACTAACTAAAAGAACTTGACTTTTCTAAAATCGTATGTATATCTCTGAGAAAGATGGACTATAAAAAAACTTTAAAAAATGAAATCACATGTATATATTTAGTGGAAATCAGAGAAGCTAGGGTTTTTTGTCATGTGTATTTATTGTTATGCCTATGAGATGACTGTATCAGTAAAAGAGTGATGTGTAATTTTTTATCAAAATTATCCATTTAGTGCGTGCACATAATGTTGACATGTTTATTCTTACCCCATTGGCTTATTTGACAAAAACCTATTCTGAGTACTCTGGGGCTCATTATAATTTCAGGAACACTAATACTTTGACCAAAGTTTAAACTAATATGATCAAACATTTCCTTTTAAGTTCCAAGAATAATCTTTTGATGACTTATCACTGATGAGGAAAGGGGCCCTCGAATTAAAAACACATTAGCTTGAGAACCTGCCTGTCAAACTCAGTAAATACGAATGCTTGCTGCATGCTCCGTACTCCATGGAGATGCAATAGCCCCTGTTTTCAAGGAGCTCACAGTACAATAGTCAAGGCAAATATATTAGGCCAGTAGATAAAGTCAATTCTCTTTCTTCTTCTTAGTAACACATATGTAAGTTTAAATAGGTTACTCCATGTCCTCCTTAGTATTTACAATAATTTGGACATAGGACAAGTTAAAATTCACTTTATGTGCTGGGGAATTCTTTAATTGTTTGATTTACTTTTCGTGAAAGTTTAGTGTGCACATCCTGGTTTGTTTAGTTTTCTTGTTTTTTTCAACTAACAATCTTTAGTTTAAAAGTCAATTCTTACCAAGGGAAAAGTCATTGTGATTGCCTCTTGAAAGAAAAAGTCATTTCTCCCAATTCTAGCATATTCCACATCAGGAGCAGAAGTCAAAAATATTACATTTCCTACCTGATACAGGAATAGATACAAGTTTTTAACCCATTCATGAGGGCAGAACCCTCATGACTTACCTAATCACCTCTTAAAGGTCCCACCTCGCAACACTGTGGCGTTGGGGATTAAATTTCCAACACATGAGCTTTAGTGGACTCATTCAAACCGTAGTACTCTTACTTTTTTTCCAGTTAACAAAATATAAATTGAAATCATGAAGTAAGTCAGGACGTTTGACAAACCCTCTGGTCTCCCCTTCCCTCCTTCATGCGGACTGTTTAACCAATGTGGAAAATCAAACAGGATTGCTTCATTTTGCTCCTCTTGCCAAGATGCCTTGCTTTTAGAATGTGTTCGTGTAGCACTTGGGTCTGGCTGAAGACCACAAGCAATTCTAACAAGTCCAAGAGTAAGCCAGGCTTAATTCTGGATCTTTTCTGAAGCAGGTTCAGCTCCTGATATAAGACCTGTCTTTTGGTCTGTGACTTGGGAAATGTGTTTGGAATAAGGAAGGTTCTTTGAGAAAACTGGAGCTAAAATATGATGCATATGACAGATTGTGCTCCAGAGTGGTCTGATACTTCCTCGTGAGCACAAGACTGTCTTGTAATTGATTATAGCATAAGAACAATTTTAAAGTGTAGTAGTGTAGTGGATAGTAATGCTGATGGAGTATATGTGTGCATACACCTATCTTTAGGTAGCCTTCACAACAAATTGTGTTTGGAAAAGATTTTTAAGATTATACATTTTTTAAATCTATATATTCCACCAACAGGCTTTGAAATTTTCTTGAGTATCGAGCTATGTGCTAAATGATAGAAGTTACAAAGAGATACGATAATGTGAATTTAGAATAATTTTTGGCAGCCTAGTGGTTGAAAATGCTGTGTTCATGTTGACACACTTTGAAGAGTCTTACTCTGCAATCATGATGTATTATAGCATAATAAGGGTGTGCTAAAATCAGATCAAACTTTGTGTAAAAGAAAAATATATAACCAAAAGCTCATGGTATGTTATTTTTTAATATTAAAGGATTTTCAGATGTCATGGAGGGTAAAATGGTTAAACTGATTCATTCTTTTAACAAATATTTATTAAACATTTTACAGTAGGCTTTAGGATTACAAAGATAAAGAGATTATAGCCTCTGACATCAATGCACTCTCATTCCAAGGGAGGAAACAGGTAAGCCAGTAGCTTCTGAAAATGCTGTTTAGTGATCATTCTAAGGACTATAGGAACACAGAGGAAGAAGGATATAATTTTAATTCTCCTAATGTCGGGAATGAATGTAGGAAAGCCTCCCAATTTCAAAGGGTAGTAAATGTTGCCTTACACATTTAAAAAGTTTGTCACACCTTACTCTTCACCATGTTCTAAATAGTAATAGTAGTACATGACTCCCCAAGAGCTCCAGTATGAGAGAGAGGCTCATAGAGGAGAACTTGTCCTCAGTCTCCCTCTGGAAACACAGGTGAGATGCTCCTTTGGACTTACGAGCAGCAGCTTTAAGTTATCACTCCATCATCACCAATGGACAGTTTTCAGCACTTGGCTGTATAAAACACCACGCGCGGTGCTGAGGGGAATATAAAGATGTGTATGACATGGTTTATGTTCATTGGAAGGTCCAAATCCAAATGGGGAGATAACACAGTTCATATTTAATGATATTTTAGATACAAAGTCCTAAGAATAAAACTAAACCAAATTTGAATGATGCTTCCATATGGCTCACTTGACAGTGGAAAAGAAACTTTCATGCCTAGAGAAATAGTGTAGAATCATAAACTTCTCTGGGTGCTGACCTATAATGTAGAAGCAAAAATGAAGTTGCAAGCTGGGCATGGTAGTGTATGCCTATAGTTTCAGCTACTGGAGAAGCTGCGGCAGGAGAACTGCTTTCACCTACAAGTTTGAAACCAGCCTGGGCGACATAGCAAGACCCTGTTTGGAGTGGGAGGCATGAAATTAAGTCCTAACACATAGCCCTGTCTATAGGAAGCATTCAGTGTATTTTTAACACTTGGGAGGGAAGGTGAGAGAATGTTGTTATTAATACAAATATATCAAGAAAAATTATCCTTAGTTCTAAATCTTTGTTTATCTTGTTTTCTAGGTCAAGAAGTGGTTTTCAAGTGTCTTGGGGAAGGAATTCTTGAAAAAGCATTTCAGGGGTATAATGCTTGTATTTTTGCATATGGACAGACAGGTAAAACACTGCTTTTATTGCTGTCAATAATATTACATATACCTTTGTGGAGAGGCAGGTACTGGGAATTGAACCTAGGCCTTGTGTGTGCTAAGCATGAGCTGTACCACTGAGTTGCATTCCCAGACCTAAATATGCATTTCTTAAAGCTTAGAAATAGAAAAAAGTTTGAGAAGCAACAGAAAAATGCTTCTAACTTTATGTGTTTAACTGAATTAGATGATCAAAAGTAACCTCCTTTTTGAAGGTGCAGTGGTTCTGGTAATTGAGTAATTTCAGTGTTAATGAGCAAAGCTAGTTTTAAACTATTAAGTGTCATTTTCCTAAATTATAGTTTTAACCTGTATTTGAACTGGAAACGTAATTACCAGATTTTCAGCATAAATGTTATAGTAAAATAATAAAAAAGCTTAGCATGATTGCCTCTGAGGACTCTCACAGAGATCTAGAAGTGATGTGGATCGTTAAACCAAGGCTGGTACAGCAGTTGATTAAGGCAGGCAAAGCAAAAACATCGTAGTGACTCAGCCATTAGCACTCTGGCTGTGACTTTTCCAGTTATAATGTGGGAATGGAATTCTGTGCAGCCATGAAGAAGAACGAAATGTTATCATTCGCTGGTAAATGGATGGAATTGGAGAACTTCATTCTGAGTAAGGTAGCCTGGCCCAAAAGACCAAAAATCGTATGTTCTCCCTCATATGCGGACATTAGATCAAGGGCAAACACAACAAGGGGATTGGACTTTGATCATATAATAAAAGCAAGAGCACACAAGGGAGATATGAGGATAGGTAAGACACCTAAAAAATTAGTTAGCATATGTTGCCCTCAACGCAGAGAAACTAAAGCAGATATCTTAAAAGCAACTGAGGCCAATAGGAGAAGGGGACCAGGAACTAGAGAAAAGGTTAGATCAAGAAGAATTAACCTAGAAGGTAACACCCACACACAGGAAATCAATGTGAGTCAATGCCCTGTATAGCTATCCTTATCTCAACCAGCAAAAGCCCTTGTTTCTTCCTATTATTGCTTATACTCTCTCTTCAACAAAATTAGAGATAAGGGCAAAATAGTTTCTGCCGGGTATCTAGAGGGCTGGGGGGAGAGGGAGGGAGCAGGGTAGGTGGTAAGGGAGGGGGTGGGGGCAGGGGGGAGAAATGACCCAAGCATTGTATGCACATATGAATAATTAAAAAAGAAGAAAGAAAGAAAGAAAAATTTATTTTCAATCAAAAAAAATTATAATGTGGGAATAAATAAATAAATCCTTACAGTGCTACCTCATATCATCTGATAACTAGAAGAATCAAAGGAAAAAATACTCATGATATAATATATGTATTATGTGTATATAAACGGTAAGTAACTGTTCATGTTACTTAGTGCTCAGTTGGAATTTTACTATACATGCTTTCAAAGAGTGTGTATATTTACTTTGAGCATTTGTACATATCCATCTGTAAGCAAAAGGCCCTCTCGATCTTACAGTGAAAGGCAGACTGGAGACTGTAGTATGATGGAAACAGCAGTACCTGTGACGTTTGCAGCCTGGGTTTCAGGGCCAAGTTTACTCCTTTTTTTTTTTTTTTCCTTTGTGACCGTGGCTAATAGATGAAGACAGTTTATAAGGTCAAGGCGTTACATGTTGCATCTCTTTCTACCCTTCCTTCCTTCTGCTTGTTCCTCTCCAGGTTCAGGAAAGTCCTTCTCCATGATGGGTCATGCTGAGCAACTAGGCCTTATTCCAAGGCTCTGCTGTGCTTTATTTAAAAGCATCTCTATGGAGCAAAATGAGTCACAGACCTTTAAAGTCGAAGTATCCTATATGGAAATTTATAATGAGAAGGTTCGGGATCTTTTAGACCCCAAAGGGTAAGTTAGTGGTTGAAATTAAACATGAAAATATGGGTAATAGTTTTAAATGATCCTAAAGTTAAAATTTCAAGGGAATGTATGTATTTGAGCCATGGGTCATGACTCTGGTGTTTATTGCTTCCCAAAATCTGTAAGTATACCCAGTTTACTTACAATTTATCCTATATTCATGTATAAAGTTGTTTATACATGTTATATAAAAATGTTTTTTACTATCGGTATTATTTTTTGCCACCATGAATGAGTTATAAAAATTGAGTTACTAATGCTACATTAGTCCTTTAGCAGCGTGTGATGTGTACTACTTGTAAACACTTCTAAGTCCATGTGATCTAGATGAAACCAAAAGTGTAAGATCAAAATTATAGGTGTCAAGGAAGTGACCCAATGGTAGGAAATGTTTGTATTTACTTTGAGTTATTAACTACTTAACTACATAAAAGAACACTTACAACACCTTAAGATTTAAGGAATAATAAAGTCAACAACTGCATACTCACCACTTGACTAATATTTTTTAAGATGCCTATGTGACTCTCATTCCATTCCCTATCCCTCCCCAGGGTAATTAGGAATTTCATGTTTATCATTCTTTTCCTTTTCTTTAGTATTTATATATAAATTTGCACAATTTTTAACATTTTTTATGTATACTCTTTGGTGATTTGCTTTTTCCCCCAAGAATTCATTCATTCTCTTTTTTTTTCCCTTGAGACAGGATCTCTCTATGTAGCCCAGGCTGGCCTCAAACTAGTGATCTATCTGCACAGCCTCTGAAGTTCTGGAATTATAGAACATCAGCATTGTTCCCCTTGTGCTAGGGATTGAATTTAAGGCCCTGCAAATGCTAGGCTAGTACTGTACCACTGAGCTATGCTTCTTGCTATTCATTCTTATATATGTAGTACTAATGCAGTAATTTTTAATGCTGTTTAATGTTCCATTGTATGATTATGCTATAACTTATCTTTTCCCCAGTAACTTGTGTGGTCTCTACTTTTTATCATTACAGCGCTGCTCTGAGCATTCTTCTGTAGGCATCCTGGCATACAGTAGGAGTTCTTAGGGAATACAACTAGGGGTGGAATTGTGAGTCACAGGATACTGAGGTTCCCAGTTTATTAAATAGTGCAAAGTAGTTATATCAGTTTATAATCCCAGCAGTGCAAGAATTCTAGGTGTTAAGCACCATCACAGACACTTGATAGTGTGCTAGATTTACTTTTTCTTGCTGCTGGATAGTGCTATAGAAGCTCTACTTTTGCAAGCAAAGTGAGCCAAGTGCTTTTGATCATGTGTGGCACAATAGATATCTTGAAGATGGGCATTGGAGTCTTTCCCTGCTTAGACTCCAGCAGAATTGCTCATTGAATTCTATAAGAGATTGTTAATCTCTTTGTGAGGTTAAGTGGGAGAACTGAAAAGTGCTTAGGAAACAATGCCCAGACCTTGGGAAGCATTCATTGGTTCTTAGTTCTTTTATCCACACTTGAGACATACGAACCACTGACTCTTAACTTGAAAGATGATTAATATCCAATACCATGAAAAAGATGACATTCACAATATATGTATATATACTATGTAATAACATAGTGTACATGTATTTATTTATAAATATTCTCAATTGTCCAATAAACTCTTCAGTTGGGTCCCAGCCAGAGTTGTCTTTTAAAAATTCAAAAGAACTATAAAATCTTTACCAGCAGAACCAGTTCTAAATATAGATAAATGTTTGTGGCAATAATTGTTATACTGTAATCTCATTTTCTCTATAAAATTGCCAGCATAGAAAGAAGCAACATAAATTGGTACAGTTTGAAGTAAATTAAAGTTAAAATGTTTCATTATCGTTCAGTATTTGTTCAAAAATTTTAAGACATTACTTAACCAAAAATGTGCTTACTTTTAAAATAGCCATAAGGTTAAATTTGTTTTGGCATATTTTGCTTTACCTTTTTTCTTTTCATTCACTGTAATTTTCCAGTGAAGTGAAACACCCAAATCCAAATCCAAATATATACAAGACCATGAGAGTGAGAGATATGGATGAGATACTATTATTATTATTATTACTATATTTTGGTTGTACTGGGGTTTGAACTCAGGGCTTCACACTTGCTAGACGGGTGCTCTACCACTTGAGCCACTCTGCCAGCTACCTTTTTTCTTTTGTTTTTCTTCTTTCCTTCCTTCTATGTGAAACTGAAGTTTATGTGTTAAAACAAGCAACCCAACTTAGTACTGTGCACTGGTTTGTTTAGTTTAGGACTAGAGATAGAATTTTTTTAAAATAGTACATTACTTTAAATAGAAATCAGAATATAAAAGACATTCCTCATATGGAATGCTGTTTTGCTAATCCAAATAAAGTAGCTTTTAGAATCCTTTCTTAAAAACTCTTTTGAAATTGTAATCTTAGTTTCTGAGTACTTAAAAAGAAGAAAAGCATCCAGTTTGCTCTTCATTCATTCATTCCTTTTTCTCCCTCTGTAGAAGCAGGCAGTCTCTTAAAGTTCGAGAGCATAAAGTATTGGGCCCATATGTGGATGGTTTATCTCAGCTGGCTGTCACTAATTTTGAGGTAAGTGTCATTTCTTTAAAATCTCATTTTAGAAATGTGGGCAGCACCATCCCATAGTCTGGGGACCCAGATGGAATAAAGGAGAAAGCCAGTGAGCACAGGCCTTCTCTCTCTCTGTGTTTGCTTCCTGGCTACCATGATGTGATCTTCTCTGCTTTGACCCACCCTCTCTGCCATCATGGACAGAAATCTTTGAGACTATGAATCAAAAATAAATCTTTCTTCCCTTAAGTTGTTTTGCTTAGCAAAAAAACATTGGCTAAGACAAATTCGTTCAGCAAACATTTTTATAAGAGACCATGGGTTTCAGGTGGGCACTAGGACCAAGTGTATAAAGAGTTACAGTATCTAGAGTGCCCAGTAATTATTAACTCTCCAAGGAACATACAAAAAAAGAAAGTGGGGTCTTTACAGAGAAAGGAGACAATTGCTGGACAGAATAAGCATGGAGGTGACATTTCATACACAAGAAAGCAGTGGGGGCTGGGAGAGGAAAGCTTAATGCATGCTCTGTGGGATGCGTCAGGAAGGGTTTTATGGAAAGGTGTGGGTAAGGAGTCAGAGGAGTCATAATGCATGCACCTGGGATGTAGGACTGTGTTCTTGTGGTTTTGCTCATAGTATTTTCCTGATGCTTTGCCTCTAGGATATTGAGTCACTGATGTCTGAGGGAAATAAGTCTCGAACGGTAGCTGCAACCAACATGAATGAAGAAAGTAGCCGCTCCCATGCTGTGTTCAACATCATAATCACACAGACACTTTATGACCTGCAGTCTGGGGTGAGGAATTTGGCAGAACCTTTGGGGGTGGTGGAAGAACTCAGAGTATCTGCATAAAGGACATGTTTCATGTTTGGATTCAAAGGCTGAGAATCTTATGTTGGCTCTTCTGCTTACTAGATGATCTACTTTGCTTAAATCCTTTATGAAGTCTTCCTTTTATCACTTTTTTAAAAATTGGATTCAGGTGTAAGGACCCTGTCTACCCATGATGACATACACAGCTTTTAATATGTATCCAGTCATACTGAAATTACCCTAAAAACAACTAAATCTACTTCATGGTCATGGAGGGATATTAAAAAGGAAACCACAATATTTTGTCTAAGATCCACATTTCAAAAGAAAATGAACTTGACCCAAATGCACAGGAACCTCATGTGCTAATATTTCCTTATAGTCAAATCTCCAGCTTTCTTTTTTTTTTTTTAATTTATTTTCCATTTTTATTAGGATATATTTGTTGTACAGGGGGAATTCATTGTGATAATTCCGAGTAGCCTTACATTATACATTGGCTAGATTGCCCCCACCATCTCCCTCCAACCCCTTCCCCATCCCATTTAAAGCAATTGCAAGAGGTTTCACATACCTATTTCATACAGGTATGTGAAGTCCATCAACCATATTCTCTTAACCTTCATCTCCTTGTGGTACTGGGATTTGAACTCAGGACCTCACACTTGCTAGGCAGGTGTTCTAGCACTTGAGCTATTCCAGCAATCTTTTTTTGTGATGGATATTTTCAAGATAGGGTCTCGAGAACTATTTGTCCAGGGATGACTTTGAACTATGATCCCCCTGATCTCTACCTTCTGAGTAGCTAGGATTATAGGTGTGATCAGGCACCCAGCTAAATCTTCAGCTTTCTGGCTGTTTTCTGAAAAACTGGTGGACTCATTAGCAGCCACAGAACAGAATCCTGTATTTCACACCAGTTTAAATCTTGACTATGAAATTAATTGCTAATTCAGATAACTTCAGACCATTTAAAATCTTAAGAAATTTGTTGTGTTAGAGTAGAATAGATTCTCTGTTGCTCTTAATCACAGAGCTTATATATGTATATATATATATATATATATATATATATATATATATATAAATTTATAGATGTCCATGTGACTTTTGCATTAATATATGTTATGTCTCTCTAATTTTCTTTAACTAGAATTCTGGAGAGAAAGTCAGTAAGGTCAGCCTGGTGGACCTTGCGGGGAGTGAGAGAGTATCAAAAACAGGAGCTGCAGGGGAGCGACTGAAAGAAGGCAGCAACATTAACAAGTAAGGTGGCCAGTGAAATAACTACCTGGGTGGTTGATGTGTGTGTGTGTCTGTATGTGTCTTGGCTTCTTTCCTGTCTAGGGGACTTGTTGCATTATAAAGTTCAGAGGATTCTGATGAAAGGTTATTCAAAATGTATGTAGCTTTAGTAAAGTGGATTGAAGAAAAACAACAACTTGCCTCTGTTCAGATGCTCCATGTTTGGTTATGTTAAGCCATATGCCCTGGCCCCAAATGCTACAAACACACCCATCATCATATGTACAGATGGCCCCTGACTTGGGATGGTCCAATTTAGGATTTTTCAACTTTACAACGGTTCAGAAACAATACGCATTCAGTAGAAACTGTTCTTCAGATTTTGAATTTGTATCCTTTTCTGGGCTAGCAGCATGTGTTCTGGTCTCTCTCAAAAGCTGGGCAGTGACAGCAAACCACAGTTCCCAGTCAGCACCTCAATCATGGGGACAAACAGCTGACACTCTACAGTGTGCTGTGTTGCTAAGCTAGGATGTTGAGTAGGCCAAGTGTGTTGAATGCATTTTTTTAACTCTCAGTGTTTTCACCTTAGATGGGTTTATCAGGACTTCACAAGTTAACAAGCATCTATAATGCAGTGCTAGGTGAAATGCAAATCATAGTTTTGTAAGTCAAATCATAAGTTAACTTAGGGAGTTTATTCTGAAAAGGCTAATGCTGTTTAAATACCAGTACCGTAGGAAAATCTATCAATTATTGAATAACTGCCACCCTGGAATCTTGCTGTTCTGTTTACCTTGAGTGCATGCGGTGTGCCCGACCTGCAGTAAACTAGAAAGAGAGCAGAGTAGTGAAAGATGGGTCAGAGTTTGCCAGGGACACAAGGGAGATAAGGCATTCCATTGCAGAGGCACAAAGGAAAGACTTGGTGTGTAGGATTTGGAGATGAGATCATATTCTTGGTATGGGTCCTGATCTGCATATAGGAGAAAATCTCTTTGCTTTCCAGCTTGAGAGGGAGTGGAGTTTATATCAAAATGTGTACTCAGGCCAGACTGCCTAGGTTCAGTCCTGCCTCCAACACTTACTAGACATGTGTACACCATCTATGGGCAAGTGATTTAACTGCTCTGTGCCTCATTTTTCTCACCTGTAGCATGGAGAGAACAATAGTATCTGCTTCATAAAAATGTTGAGGACTAAATGCCCATCATGTGTTCAGAACAATGTCTGGCATGTAGTGTGCGCTGAAAAAAATAATGTTATAGCAGTAGTTTTTTAATCAGCGTAATCACTGTCATTATTCCAAGTTCCACAGAAAATAGTTTACTGTATACTTGTTATCTTTTTCTATTGAGACATAATAACTTGGGGTTTTATTTAGGACAGAATGTGACAAGAGGAAACATATTCAAGAACATGTTTTTGCAGCCTGCATTTTGAAATGATATTGGCACAGTATGATTTTAGTATGAAAGTTTAAAAATTAGAAGTAAAATGTTTCTCCCTTTATCAGAAACATACAGCTGTACACACTGGGAAAGACTGCTATTTTAGGGAGTTAATCTCCAGTCATTCTGTCTCCTGCTCTAATAACAAGAGATTTCGCTGTATTTCATGACAAGGGACTGCAGGATCCAGGATGGCTTTTCAGCTCTGTTCCACAAGTGCTCAGGAAATAGGATAGGAATGCAGAAATGGGGGTGCAAGGAGGAAGATACCAATAGCAAAAAGTGTCCCCTTTGCTAGAGATTCATTTACTGGTGCTGCGCTGTGCCAGCCTTTGGCCTGCTGGGTGGGCATGTGCTAAGGACTTGTAAAAACGTAGGAGTGCATGCTGGCCATGATGGAAAATGACACTGATTTTTATTGAGCTCTCCCTTGTGCCTGAATGTTCTGTAGGTAATGACTCACCTTATCTTCCTGTCAGCATTGTGAGATGGGTCTCTTCCTCATTTTACGGATGAGAAAACCAAGGCAGAGAGCAGTTAAGTAATATGTCTCAGGTCACCAGGCTCTAAGTGCGGATTACATTTGATTGTACGTAGGCTCCAGAGCCCAGTCTTCACCAATATGCTACACTTGGGGTGGCCGTACATTCCATTCACCTGGAAGAACAGTCTGTTTGATACTTTTACCCCAGCATAAATTTGGTGCTCCTTTAAATTGGGTGCTAAATTTAAAGGAGCTAATTGACCCACCTCAAGGCTGTGTGATAACATGACTTAGATCATCTAGCAACTGGCTCTCTTATATAACTTCTAGAGTTGAGTAAGAAGTCTGTCAGCATCCCCTCCTTCCTAACTTATATATCAGGTTTTTCATAAATGGATATTTATTCATTACTGCTAGTTTGTTAGATAGGAACTTTATTTTTAGTGCTCTTTGTAGCTTCCAGAGCATTTTTCACATGCATTATTTCATGTGAGGCTCAGAATTGGTAGTTTTCTCTCTGTTAACATAACAGATGCTTTAAAGATGAGGCAACTGGTACTTGGAAACATTAAATAGTATACATGGAGGCCCATCATTAAACGTGTTATGATGCCTCTCCTGTGTTTCTAGCACTGTATTTCGTGTTAGGGATGAAGAAGGAATATCAACATTGTCAATACTGTGGCAGGTAGAATAATACGCTCACCCTCAAAAATATCTGTATTCTAATTTCCAAACTCTATGCAGTTGTTACCTTACAAGGCAAAGGTAAGGATGTGAGATACGGAGATTATCCAGGCAGACCCTATGTATTACAGGGTCTGAAAAATAAAAGAGGAAGGTAGCTGAACCAAAGACAGAATAATGTAGAAAAAGACTTGACTGACCCTTCCTTGCTTGAAAATGGAGGAGGAGGCCACAAGCCAAGGAACACAGGCCATCTGTGGAAGCTAGAAAAGGCTAAGCCATGAATTCTTCCCCAGAACTCCAGAAGGAGCACAGACCTGCCAACATCTTGAATTTATCCCAGTGAGACATCTTCTGGACTTCTGACCTCCAGAACTGTTAAGATTATAAGGTCATGTTGATTTAAGCCACGAAGTCTGTGTTCACTTGCGGCAGCATGACAGCTGCCCTTGAAGAGCTCCTACTGTAGGACAGCAGTGAGTCTCTTCACTTCAGAAGCAAAAGGTAGGAGGATTTTCTTGACTAGATAAAGTCAAGATCTCTCATGAGGTTGCCTCTAGTCTATTCATTGATAGTCTTTATTATTTACTTTGTGTGACTTGTGTTTCATTATGCATGCTGGCCAAGATCCCTCTAGGGGTTATATAGTATGTACACTGAATTAACTTCCTAAAGTCCAAAATATTCTGATTTTCAAGACATATGTGGATGCAAGGATTGTATTTTATTTTATTATTTTGGATGCAAGGATTTTAGATAAGAGAAATAGACTTGCAATTTTTGATTCATTTTAGCAAATGTGTGTTGAACTCTGACTAGGCATGAGAACAGGGATGAGTAAGGTAGGGCCCTGACCTTAGGAAGTGGGGAAGGAAGACCTTTGGGATGGTTGTACTAATACAGTCAATGCCACAGAAACTTGCACACAGTGTAGTGGAAACACTAGGGGAAGGGTGGATAAGCACAGCTAGAGGGGATCAGAGAGGGCTTTCCAGAGGAAACACTGCAGTTTCTTGGTTATATAAACCAGCTATTTGACCTTTCTATGTCTTGGTTTCTACATCTGTAAAGCATGGATAAGGAAACCACCTAATGAGTAGAGATATTATGAAGACAAAAATAGTTGCTTTTTGTAAAGTGCTTAGAACAGGGCCTAGCACAAAGGAAGCTAAATGTGTGCTAATAAAATAGTAAATTGAAACTTCTGCCTAAACCTTATACTCAGTGCCCATTTGAATGCTAAAACTAAAGAAATCTCTGATGTGTTTCCTAAGCTCTTTCTCAGCCTCCTGGTTCAGATTCTTCGGATGGAGTATTAATAACCCCTGTAAGCAGACCTGTCAGTGACGTCTCACAGCCTTCAGTATCAGCTTAATGGGCTGTGGATTTAGGGTCTCATCTCTTCTGAAGCTCTTAAGAGCTTTAAAGTGCGTGGTACTTCTTTCGTTTAAAAAGCTGAAGGCACTGTGTGGCTACATTGCCAAAGAATGCACAGGACTTGGGGGATAGGTTGTCTGTATACCATTCCACAGGGTCATCTGAAAGACCAGGCTGCCATTTCACCTGTCTAGTGAAGGTGGAATGCAGAAGCCTTCTCCCAACTGCTGGAGTCTGGCTGTTTTACCTTCTGTGCAAACTCATTTAGCTCTAATATCAGACGTTGAAAATGGCTCCATTTCATTCTCAAGGATGGTTAGTCACTAAATGCAAATCATGGTCGTCTAATGAGTATCATACCCAGTCTCCTTTCTATTTCAGTTGTTGTAGTTAATACTAAAGTATGTATTAGCATTTCATAAGATGAGTTCTACTGAACATTTATTCCAAGAATAGAATGTATATTACTTCTAGGATGGTGTCATATGATTTGTTATAGTAGCTTATCAGCTTCATGTTTTAAATATTTGTGTGATGCAATTGTCGTGAGCAAACTGTATCAGAAACACAGACATTTTTGTGTCTTTCCATGTTAGCATTTACTCAATAACAAATTCATAGGCTACATCCATTTCATTGGCATTAATTCACCAAATACTATTAATTTCACTTCATAGTTGTGAGCATTGGCAAGCAGGCTTTTATTCCATTCTTAATATTAACTTTCCAATTGCAATAATATATAGATTTCAGAATGGCTAAGAAAGCCACTGTAGGGTTCAAAGTGACCTTTCTGAAAGGCTAGAGAAGAAAGCTGATACAGATGCAAAGAGAGTCACTTCATGTGGTTAAACAAGATACTAACATACCCTGGTCAGAACTGTTGTGGTACAGGGATGTCAGAGAGCAGAGCTGGTTCTAGGCTTACTGGATCCAGACAGTTGGCAAGTTGAGTGAATTACATCAAATGGGTATCTGCCAAGCTGAAGCCCCAGGACAGAATTGGGATGATGGGATTAGTG